CGGGCGGGCCCGGTGCGCCCCCGGCCCCGCTGGAACCGGCCGGCAGCGCGGGCGCCGCGCGGGGAGAGGAACAGGAGCCGTCGGCAGGGCTGGAAGTGATAGGTGGCTCCATAGCTCAGTGGTTAGAGCACTGGTCTTGTAAACCAGGGGTCGCGAGTTCGATCCTCGCTGGGGCCTCCCGAGCTTTTCCCCTCGTGGTTTTTTTTTTTTCCCTCTTTTCCCTCCTCTGGCCTAAGCGGGGAGTTTCGCTCCGCAGGCGCGGAGCCGAGGGGACCGGCGGTCTGCCGGCTGAAAGCCGCGGCAGCAGGGTGCTACTTTTTGCATCCCTAAACGGTGCGTCCAGAGGGTGGCGGTAGGAGACAAACGTAACATGGAAACTGCAAAGTGACGTCATTGGCTTGGCTCCCTCCCAGGCCAAGTCTAAGCCAGGCCGTGGCTCTGCCACGCAAACACACACACTTCCCTGGAAAAGAACATTTGAGGGTTGTTACCGCCCCACTTCCACCGTGGATAATGCAACCCCATGGTCCGCGCTGTCCCAATTCTCCTTGCAGCACCCCACTACAAATTAATTTCGCAGCACGCTCCACGTAGGAAGGAGCACCACTACTGCCGGGGCGTCCCACACCCCTCCAGCTCAGCTCTAAATCCACACTGCTCCCGGGGAAAAGAAAAGGCTCAGCCAGGGAGAGCAGCAGCCAGTAACCCTGCACCCAGCCCTTAACCTGCTCTCCAGGAGGACAGAATCCAACCTATGTTGTGTTAGGAGCCAGAAGAGAGTTCAATCCAATTGCTCAGCTGTAACTAGGATGTTTGAGGGTTGCCTGGTTTCTGTTGCTTTGATTTTAAGGTTTGCTGAACATTTCCAGCCCTTACTGAATCCTTTGGAACCTGCAGGTGACCGTGATCCATACCATGAAAAAATACTGCTTAAAAAAAGTCTAATTTCATTGTCTGAAAGACAACTACTCTTACAATATACTTTTCACTGCATTTCAGTTAAGGGGGGGCAGGAGGGAGAGGTCTATTTCATATTCTTAGATAAAAGACACTAGTCCTGAAAGTTGGATGCACTTGGATTTATTAGACAGTCATACACAGCCAAATCTTACCCACGAATGTCCATCAGAGACTCTCATAACTACTTGTGTCAGAAAAGGACATCACAGCAGGATTTGCAAAGAAAATAAGGCTGGTGCTGTTAAGGTTTAATAGAACATACATAGAAACTGCTAATGCTGACAGTAATGGAGGCATACCTGGGAGCACTGGCATAATGAGTGAGCCAATTCTCTTATTTGGTCATTATTCACAACATCTGTTTCACCATCTTATAAGTGACTTGCTGTTTCTGGGACATCACTGAGCTTCAAGAGCTGCTTCTTAATCTACTCTCATTCTTCCTCTTCTCCAGTTTTTCCTTAGCTAGTGCTGCTTTCTTTGGAAGAAGCTTCTTGGTTCTGGTTAGGTGGAAGCTCTTCTTTTTTGGCAAAGGTGGTGCTGGTGTAGTTCTGGAAATGTGTGCAACCTTCTCTTCCTGCTTTGGCTTGTGAGGTTTAGCCTCAGCTTTGATTTTCTGTCTCTTTTTACCAGATGGAGCTGGTTTCACTGTTGATGCTTTTATTTTGGTGGATGGGGTCTTTTTAGCTTTCCTAAAAGAAACTGTTGGGATGGCTGCAGTGGAAGTAGAAGATTTTTTCAGAGGCTTGGTTGTTGAAGGTTCATTAAGCAGCTCAAGGACAGTCTCTGAGGAAAAGTAATTAACATGGTTCAGCATCCCTGCTTTAAGGCAAAAGGCTAATTCAGAGATATGATTGATATAAACCCTTATTAGAGCTACAGTTAAGAAAAATAGCTGACATTCTGAAAGAAGAAATACACACTTTGTAAACCTCTTTCCTTCCATCAAAAGAGCCTTGGGTTTCTTGGAAATAAAATTTGTTTAGTTTTAGAAATTATGAATGTATGTTTAAGGAAAATAAGTTGAGACAGGATATGATGAAAGCTTGCACACTTCTTTGGCAGACTTAACAATATGAATTTTTCATGTTATACTAATATCTGGAAATCCCAGACAAGATAACCTCAACTCGCTAAGCACTGTTTCTACTCAATAATAATAAGTAACCCCTGCCCTAGTTGTATGGGACATAGGACAGAAAAAGGCCAGGAAAAAGGAAGATTGACTCCCCTAGATTCACAGAAAGGGGATTATTTGACTCAAGGAGCTTGTCACAGAGCCAAGGACAGGTGCTCAGGACTTCCCAGACCAAATCCAATACCTGAATCAAAACCATCAGTTCCCTTGTGATGCCCATTTACACTATTTACTTGGCAACTCTTAGGGGAAAACAAAAAAAAATCAGAGACTGGGATTAAGAAAAGGCATGGCACCTATTACATGACAGAAGCACACATTAAATGTGATAAACTAACTTCAGGATTGCTCCTGCTCAATGCTTTAGTTTTTAAGACTACTGAAGATTTCAATCACATGCCTGTAAGATGGTTATATGTTTTGCTTCTCAGTAAAGTTAAAGCCTAACAACTTACTTGCACGTGGAACAAATGGTATCTGTTTGCTCTTAGTTTTCACTGGAACAGGCTTGTATTTACACTTCCCTGGTGGAGCTCTCCTTGAAAAACAGAAAGTGATATGCAGATATCTGAGAGATTGTTAAGGAAGTTTATTTATTCGAGAGGCACACATCAATCCCCTGTTGTCAATTGCCTCTGCTGGAAGAGGCATGAAAGCACTTTAGGCATCTAGAGTGCAATGTAGGTGGAATTTAAGAGGCTAACTCAGGGCTACAAGCCATAAAATCTCCGTCTGAATAGCAATAGCAGCTGGAAGGCTGCAGCTTCTCTTCTACCACCCTTCTTTCTGGTCAACTTTCTGCCATCAGGCTGTTTGGACTGTCTTTATCCAGTATCAATAGCTGGTTTGTTTGTGTGTGGGATGCTGGCCTGCCTGCATGAACTTGTAGCCCACCACTAAATTCAAGGATGCTGATTAGGCATGTTCAGCTACATGTCCTGCTGCTAGAGGCACAGCACAGTGCTGGTTTTAGAAGCCTGGTGGATGCATTGGTTGAACTTCAGACTATCAGTCACTTTAGGTTGTCCTCACAATATTGGCTCATGCATCCCACCTTGAAGTGGGGGAGTCTCATTCATGCACATGTTTGTCAGCAACAGCGCTTTCCAGTCACCCATGGTGCAGTATAAGGATCTTTGTACATGCAGCCGAATACCCCCACACAGCCCCACAAAAGTTAGTGTGACCTTCAAAGAGTGCTGCTTCAGACACATAGTGCTGCAGCAAGAGGGGCGAGAAAGGAAAGGAACAGGCAAGGAGGGAGGAAGCAACAACCACAAAGAAAAAGTATCCGCAATCCTCACCTGCCGTTCCCTGACAACTTCCCACAGTACCAAAAGCATCCAAAAAAACCCCAAAAAGCACATTTTCCCAGAGGTAAAGCTGTCACATGTTAAACGACAGGAAGGTGGGTACAAAGAAGAGCAACAGACCTGCATTTTCTGTTACCCACTAAGGGAACTGCTGTAGGACAAATAAGAACAGGCTCTTCCAATTTGGCATGCTTGACAGAGCAGAGCAAAGCATAACCTAAGGCATCACATTTTCTTGTTATTAGCATTCTTCAGACAGGGGCAACAGCCAAGTGCTTCTCCCATGCCATTTCAATTAAATAAAAAAAAAGGTTACTAAAGCAGGGTTGTTGGCATTGCTTGTGGGTTGTTGGTTTGGGGATTCTGGGGGGGGTCCATCCCCCTTCCCCCCCCCAATCTTTTAAAGCACCTTTTAACACCTCTTCCCTCCACTCCTGACTGAGGGGATTTGGTGCCAATCCAGGCGGAGGCACACCAGCCACTCTGCTGTCTCCAAGAGCACTGCTGGAGAGGCAAGCTGAAGTGGGTACATGGCGCACTGCTGCCCTCGGTTTTCCTGGGAGGTTCCTAGGCAAGTCTGAGTTGCCATCAGGTAGATGGCAGTGGCCCTGCTGACAGTTTGAAGCAGGCATTTGTGCAGCTTGCTGCCCTTGCCAGGGTGCTTGCTGAAGTGCAGGAAGCAGGGAGTGCGTGGGCTGCACAGACTGGGACTGCACCCATCAGAGGAGCTAGTTATCCCAGCCACCGCTCACAGTGAGACAGAAACCAAAGAATCCTATAAACAGCATTAAAATGCAGAGGAGAAAGGACAAATCTCCACTCATGATACAATCAGGAGGAGGCCAGAGTACAACCTGGGATCTAGGGGTGTTAAGACTCTCTGCTGCAGGGCCAAGCAAGCTCAGCCTCCGGAGGAGCAGTCACTGCTTTGCAAACTTGTCCGGGGTATGCAAGTTCTTAAGTAAACAGACAAGAGCAAAGCTGAGCAGAGCAGCCTCCAGGCTAAGGTAAATAAGGGGAACCAGAAAATACAAGAATAAATTCCGAAGAGCCAAGGGAATAAGTGCCTGGTCCTGCTCCAGAAATGATGGATATGAAGCTCCAAAAACACAGGGAAGAGCTGGCTTCTTTCCAGAAAGCCCTTCTGAGCAGTGAAACCATTGCACTCCTGGCAGGGACTTGCTGCCCCCCATGGAGTCATCATGACATGGTGCATTACTGCACACCAGTCCTCAGGGCAGGCAACCTCCTGGAAAGGCTCCCGCATGCTGCTTGTGAAACAGAAAGCTGCATTTCTCCCTTTACAGTGGGAAAGAGGAGAGGATTTATCATCCTGATAGTCTTCGTGATGCATTAAGGAGTGGCATTGGGACTGCAGGGCTTTTTCATGAAATAGAGCATGCTCAAGCTCTCAATGTTTATGCTAGCTCACAATTTTTTTTATTTTATTTTTTAAGTTTTAAGTGTTACATTTTGGTCAGCCACAGTTAATGCAGTTCAAAAGCTTCCTGGCAGATAAGCTGTTAAAGGCAGGAGTCCCCTCAAGTAGTTACAGCAAGTAAAACACTCAAGTTCTTATTCCCATCACCTTGGTACAGAGCTTGAGTTAGCGATCTAGCTTTGGATTTAACTCCCCAAGAAAACATAACTTGTTTTCTTCATTTTGTTAGTGTCCAAGATCTCAGCAACAGCACAGATGCCTTAGAACTGTATCTACTTTACAGGGTGATTTGTAACTCATTTAATACTTTTTAGCAAGATCCAAAAGCTTGGGATGGGAAAAAGTTACATAAGCATGCTTATTATTGTAAAACCAGACTTTAACAGGGATAACTGCTTAATGGGGAAAAAACATTTTGCTTGGACAAACTCAGGTTCAGGCTCTAATTATTATTTGAATACTGCACAAACCACCAGGATTCACTGTTCTTTGTGAAGAAAACTAAACTGTGGACTGCAATTTATTTATTTATATGAAAGTGCATCACAGATATTTGACGTCATGACCCTGGAGGATATGGACTGTCATTTTTTAAACACCACAGTGCTATACTTCAAATATGCAGCCAAGGAGACATTATTTTGATCCTTACTGTCCCAGACCTTTAAGGTATCTGAACCCTGTCTATTTCTGGGTGCACAGATATGATGAGTGAAGATTAAATTTGCTAAAACTGATTAAAGGTGCACCAGATGTATGGTGGGTGAACAAAAAGCAAGAACTGGGTGTGGAGAGAGATCAGTGAGATTCGTATCAGTAGTACTTAGCATTCTGTCTCCTGTGATAGCTGGAGAACATGTGCTCATTACAGAAGAATTTAGCATGGAAAAACATCTGTAATTACTAACCTTGCAGGATCAATAAACTTGTATAGTGATCCATGTGGTGCATAGGCACTAGGATAAGAAGTAGACATAAAATACAGCTCACCTAGATGAAAGTGAAGAAAGAAAACCAGTGTTAGATTCAAGTTCCCAAGCTGAATCCCAGTTCTGCATTTCCCTGTCTTTCCTGGCTCTTCACTAATTCACATGCTCAGAAAAGAAAACCCCTTCAGTTGCTCCCTCAGTGGTGCCTTACTTCCAAGAAGCGGGCTTTGGTCTCTCCCTGGCCTGTGCAGGTGGACTTCCAGGGACACCAAATGATCTCTTGGTTGCAGCAGGGTTCCACACAGAACCAGCAGCTCTCAGTCAAGCACAGTGCCTGAGCAGGACTGTCATTACCTCATGTCAGTGTCCCTCCAAAAGTTTACTTCCCTCTGTATAAACGTGTATTTTTTAAACTTGTTTGTACCAAAGCAGAAGCCAGAAGCTACAAATAGAGGGGAAGACCACACAACAAATATTTAGCCATCTCATAGTCATACCAAAAACATCCAACAAGAGCTAAATTGGTTAATCCACAGAAGACAGAAGCTTCTTATTCTTGTGTGGTTGCTGAGGAGAGCAACTATTCCTCATGCCTTCTCTTCAGCACCTACTAGAACAATACTCAGGCAAATTATAGTAGCCTGCAAAAGAGGCAAAACTGTTGTCTTTCAAATTACATGACAACACCATATTGGTTTCTAAAAGAACAACCAGTAGAAGAGACTTTTAACATCCACTCATTCCACATGTTAGAACAGTTAAAAATTGTAGACATTTCACAACAAAGCCTGCATATCCCTGCATCTTTGACAGAATATGCTAGCCAGGTGGTCTAGGATCCTTTCATTACAAGCAAATCTCTTTTCTGCTGAATCATGAAGCATCAGAGCTCACTAAAACACATCTGTGTTCTCAGAAAACTTGCAACCACTTTTTGTATTACATAGCTCTCTGTCAGGAGACTGTACAAAAGTGAATGAAGTATGCATTAGTACTTTCACCTTGGTGAGAATCTGGTCTTTGTGACCATAGCAATAATCCTATGCACTGAGACATTTCCACTAAATTTTAAAATGAGTGGCTCTCCTCATCCCCGAATAAAGCCTTGGTCTATAATTCACAGTGTGAAGTGCTGTTGTGAATAAGACTGAGGAATTTATACTAATGAAGTGGGGGAAATTCAGATAAGCTGTAAGAACTCAAGCAAGAATGAGCTGTTACAATGAAAGAACAAACTGCATTGATACAGTCTTTTCATTAATGAAACAGTATAAACAAATGACAAAAGGACAGGGGAAGGCTGAAACAAACAGGAGTTCAAACTCCTTAGAGAACCTGGAGCATTCAGACTGCAAGTTCACCTGAGAATCTGTCTCCCGAGCTCTCCATCAAGCCTGTCTGCAATAGCCTCACAGGGCAGGAAACCTCTCTGAACCACATACCAACCCTACCTGCCATGCTGAGATAGCCACAAACCTGTTTTGCAGTGCCCGCTCTCTAGTATCATGAGGAACAACATAATTTTACACATTTGCCCTACAATATAGAACCGACAGTACAGTTTCCAATAAAGGTATGGCTAACATGATACCCACCTGCTTCATCCTCAGCAAATGAGATGATGAATTTGCTGTAAGAACTGATCATTCCAGGGAAAGCACAAGCTCTTGCGCTGCCAATGCAGATATCTTGCTTCTTCCACTTATTTGTCTTCTTATCTTCCTGTAAAGCCATAAGTCGACTAGATGAAAAATAAAACCCTGTGTTTTATGTTTCCATTATCAAGATTAGTTCCTGTCAAAATCATGCATTACTAAAAAAAAGTCAGTGAGGACCCCAACTGTTGACTGGCTTTAATGGTTGTCTTTTGGAAACATAGACCTGAACAAAAACAAACATATCCTAAGGACTCTAAATTGGAGGAAGTGTACATTCCAACCAAAATGTTGTTACAGCAGTCAGACAGAGCACTTAATCTAATATACAGACATCCGAGATTCTCATTTGCTCTAGCTCAAAAGGTTTTGGGATGCTCCAATATGCTTATTGCCCCACATAAGGCAAATGTAGGTACAGAATGGGAACTGCAGAGAAAAATTTAGTCTCACCCATTCATGAAATCACCAAAAATATAAAGGCCGTTCAAGTTGGGCGATTCACATCCTCTGTATACATAACCTCCAGTGACTGACTTCCCCACATTGCGGCCGTATGCAAATATTGGAAGAATGTCATCTGTAAACACAGAAAAATTAAAAAGTGAGAAAATTTACATCCAGAGAGCATCAAAAAGTAATTGCTCAATGACACTAGCAAGCACAAAAGTGACTAGAAGAAGCACTACAGTTGAACAAACAGCATAGTTAAATTTCAGTGGGAATTCAGTAATTTACTCCAGAACAGACCCAGGGGCTTTAAAGAGCTCTCTATGTAGTTACTTATCAAGGCTTAGTCATTACAATCTTCCATAACACATAGGACCAAGATTCTCTGCATCAAGCAAGCAATGCAGAAAGGTATCAGCCTGCAGGAAGTATTATTTTACAGGTTTGTGATTGCATCAATCATTTTAGCAGGGATTGTCTTTACAAATTCCAGTATTTTTAGAGAAGGGAGTAAGATCAAACAATTGCAAGTTAACATCTCCATAGGTTTGCTGACATTCTCAGCACAGAACATGCATAAGTGTGCTACCTCCATTCAATGTCATGAGACTTATAAAGACTTTGCCTCTAGCAATGTTAAAATTGAATTCAGCCCTTTCTCAGGTTGAATATCAGATCCCACAGAATTTTAGTCTTGTCCTCACTTTTTTCCCCTAGATCAAATAGCTTGTCTTTAGTCTTTAGCGATAAGGATAAAGATGGCAAATGTAGTTCATTAAAAACCATAGATTAACAGCAAAATCTAATTCAGTTCTGTTGTCAATTGACCATTAGGCCATTAAAAACCAACCAAATAAATAAAATACTTGAGCCATGCGGGTACCAGCATAGCAGAGGAGAAATGTTGATAACACATACTCCACACTTGCCTGCTCATACAAATGTTTCAGAAACATCTACGTGAGCTTGAGACCAGGTGCTTTCTTCCAACAGCTTAAGGAACATTATAATAATACCCAGTTCTTCTCCCATACTTTCCAAAGAGCACCAATATCTAATCTTTTTTAAAGGCAGCAAGTGAGTTTGTCCATCACACCCACAGTCAGACCCAGAGCACAGCTATTGGGTGTTCTGTTGCAGCATCCCGCTTGCTCAGGACACGCTGCCTCTTCCACAAGATTTGTTCAGGGTCTCAGCGTCAGCCTCGTCTATTCTCCTTAGCCATAGCCATGGCTCAGAGCTTCTGAAGAAAACACAATATTGCTTTTCTACTTAAACCCAATCCATTACTTTCCTGACTTCACTGGGAAAACTCTGTCTGCAAAAGGCATAGGCTTTGACCCTAAACACCTTGTCCAGTGCAGTGCATGGCAGGGAATTCCCTGAATAAGCAGGGCATCGTTTCATACCAACACTGCAGGTCTGTGGAGAAGGGGTTTCTGCTCTTAAGTAGTAAACAATCTCCATTTAACACACAACACTGGATTATTTAGCTTCACTGGAAAACTGGTGCTATAGTCAACTGGATACACGTGTATAAAAGTAATCTTCTATAAGAAACTTATTCCTTACCCAAAGAGGAATTGTGGCAAAGCTTTGTGTCATAGCATTCAAATCCCTCCTTTGCTCTCCAGCCGTAGTTCCTTCCTTTAACAATGATGTCGATTTCTTCAAACCTGTTCTGCCCAACATCCCCACAGAATATCCTCCCTCTTCCCTTTTTCGTGACAGGGTCCCCTCTGTCAACTGCACAGCGCCACATATTCCTGACCCCATAAGCATAAACCTCAGGGCGGGCCTTGGGATCAGACACAAATGGATTATCAGGAGGGATGCGATAAGGCTTTCCATCAGGGCTTTTTCCATCCACATCAATCCTCAAGACTTTCCCCAACAAAGTACTCCTATAGCGGACGACAGAAAAAGAAACCCCAGCATGAGAGCCAACTGAAAACACAAACAATTCTCTTTCTCTTCCCCCTTTCCAAAGGAAAAGTTATCTGCCCAAAAGAAATAAGCCAGCGGCTGGTATGCCTCGCAACCTGTTCAAGTCACAGAAGACTCTCCCCTCTCTAATCAACTTGGGTTCCCTCAGTTTTCAAAATGTAAAATTTTAATATTTGAAATACCACATCAGACAGACTTACAGATGCACAAACACTTTCAGGAAGCACTCTCACTTTATTCTCCCACATTGTCTCATTTCCAAACCTTGTATCTTGGTGAACAAGCTCAAAGCTTTCACCTGCCCTCCTACTTACTTGTTCTGAGCATTCCCAAATTTTCCAAAAGGGTCTCCAGCTTTCCCTCCATCCCCTGTGAATAGATACATATAGCCATCCACACTGAAGAGCAGCTGCCCACCATTATGATTTGCAGCTGGTTCCTCAAGCTCCAGAAGATTCCTTTAAAAAAAAAAAAGGAAGTCCAGATGTAGCTACTGGGAAGGACTGGACATTCAGGTAGGCTGCAGAAATATTGCATCACTTCTACAGAAAAAAGCAAGATTTCCCAGCTGTACAGACCTGTCAGCTTTGTCAAATACGGTGCTGAGTTCCATCATGTCTCCTGTGACCTGCAGCATAAGGCTGTCCACCTACCTTACAGCAGAGCTCCTTTCAGTATGGCATCCCTTGAGGAAGAGTGTTTCCCATGAGCCATGCAGAACCATGGCTGCCCCATGCACTACAGCTTTGGCCTGCACTGCATTAACACCTCTTGTGCTACAGAGCTCACCCACCATGAGCACAGGAGTATCGCAACTCATCTGAAAACAGAACTGCAAATACATTGTGTGTTCTTCTGCAGGGAACACTTGTTGCCCTTTAAACTTTGATTGTGCCAGGTGGGTTCTCCTTTCTTATATGAAAAACAGTTGGTGAATTTGAGGGCTTCAGAAGCATCTTATTTTCTCTAGAGTTTCACAGTCACCATAAGTCCACTATTAACAAATTTTTCTCCATAACTGAGAATTAGCTTTTTATCTTAGCAGGGGGATGGGGCAGGTGCACACGTCAGATCAAATGAATGTATAGTATTGTAGTGAAGCACCCCTGTTCAAAACACTTTTAGGGCAGATGTTAATTCCACAGTAGGCTTAAGGCTATTACTGCTCTTTAGAAGACAAGAATACAAGGTGGAGAGAGAAGACGACCTGAAAGCCTAGATCCTGGGTCCTCTTTTCAGTTGTGTTTCTAGTATGCTGTGTGACCTTGAGCCAACCTGTCTCTGGTAGCTTCATAGCAGGCCAGTCACCCACCTGAACCAGGGTGACTGGGAATGTGCAGGTTCTGCAAGGAGGTTGGACAGGGACAGAGAAAAATCATTTCTCATCGTGGCATGCAGTAGCATTCAAGATGAACTTTACCTTTCTGAGCGTGGATCAGCTTTGTTGGCATCAGATGCCAAAACCTTCAATTCACTGATCCTGATCTTTTCCACTCTGTTCTTATCCATGTATGAGTAATAGATATAAAACTTCCTATTGTACTTGTACTTGGGGTGGAAAGCCATCCCCAGAAAGCCCCTCTCATCCCCTATCCACGGCGTAGCCAGCACTGTACTTCTAATATCCAGAAAAGGCTCCTCCAGTCGGCTGCCATCAGGTAGGTAGACCCAGATCACGCCCACCTGCTCAGCTACAAATATGCGGTGGGTACGGTCATTCGCATGCACCATGAGCACCGGGTTCCTCAGGCCATTGGCAACCTCAGTCAGACAGAGCTGAAGGCAGCCTTTGTGGTCCTCCATCACTGAGCCCAGGTTGCGGTTGAGGGCTGTGTTCTTCAGCACATTGGGGAAGCAGTAGTCCTCATCATGTAGGTGAAGGAGGTTGCAAAAGCGCGTCTTGTTTGTCTTGCAGCATTCTTGGATGTGCTTATCATTCGTCAGCAGACTGATGGTGGAGTAGCAGTTGAAATGAAACTCAGAACAGTAGTCAAAACAAAGTCCTGGGAGGTTTCTTAGAGGCGTCCAAGGGTTTTCTGCATCATAGAGATGTGCAGCATATGGAGAACATTCCTAGAAAGTAAAAGAAACTAAATATCTGGCTGTGTACATGCATCCAGAAGTCAAGACACCTTCATGGAAGCAAACAGGTTAATAAAATGAAAAAAATTAGTAAGGCAGAGAACATGAGTCATCTTTGAAGTGGAGTAGTAGAAAGTCACTCAGAATATGGCCAAAGGGGATTCAGAGGTCAGTAGCAGTTTCCTTTACCAAAGCACAATCAGCTGCACCTAAATTATTCTCAACAAAAGTATATCTATGGAGGCTGTGGATTCTCCACTACTAGAGGGTTTTAAGGAAGTGACAGGCTACATTTTAAACTAGGTACTTTGTAACCTGTTCTTAACAGGTTGAGAGAAGAATATGTTAACTCCCTCGCTGCAGCAGCCCTTTGCACTATGGAGAACATTACTTCAGACTTCTCCAGACCAGCAGTCCCAAATCTGGGCACGCCTTTCACATCAGCCAGCATCACTGCCTTTTCCAGATACATTTAAGATTTTACTTTGTTAAGCCATTTAAGCCCATACCTAGGTCTAATCAAGTGTTAGGAAAGAAAGAAGACAAAACAGGTACAGGTTCACTCACACCTTCAACACTGTGCACAGCTCTGGTCCCCCTTCCCAAAAGCAACATGGGGAACAAATCCACAAGGACAGTAAAATATACAGAACAGCTAGGTAAGGTGGGACTGAGCAGTCTTGCAGATTGGTGATTGGAGTAGGGTAACAGCCTGACAGAGGTGTGTGAATATCACCAGTGACATCAAGAAGATGGGTGGGGCTCCCTTTCCCCCAGAAGAAAAATGAAGGAACATTAGATAAAGCTACTAGGAGCCAGGTTAAAAAATGGTCAAACTCCGCCAGAAGAAACTGTAGGTGCTAAAGATGTATATTGGTTAAATATACAGGCTAAATTAATCTTTGGTCTGATGCTGTACAACTTCAGTTATGTTCTTGCACGCATAATATCACTGAAGCAGACTATAGCTGAGATTTAAAACTGATCCAAATAAGTAAATATCACCTTATGCAATTCATGTAGCTACCATTGAGGCTATATGCGATCTCCAGGAAAAAAAATACTTCAGGCAACATTTTCAAGTGTTACTATGTAAAATTATGTTGCTTCAAATATCATTAAGTTTTTAGGTGTGCAAAATATAGCTTAAATACTAAAAATCAGACATTGTGTTTGAATTTGTACCTAAATTTAAACTCCTCATCTTGCAAAAATTCTGGGCCAGAACATCTATAAAATTTTTCCATTAAAATCCCACCTCTATTTTAATCAGCACAAAGTTGCAGAAGTTAAAACAGAAGCTGCTAAATTCTACAGAAAGATTATTTTACTGGTTTTCATGGCAGCAACCTGAAACAGTCTATCCCGAGTTTTTACTGGGCACATATGTAGGAAGATAAGTACGTAGTCAAAGAATGAAGAACTACTACATTAGTATATTTTCTGCCTCATTAAACAAGTTTGCTTCACTAAACAATTCATTAAACAAATCTGGGGCAGTTATACAAGCACTGACTTTTTTTTTTTTAATGCAAGTAGCAGCCTTTCCAGGATATTTAATGTGAAAGCTACAGATCCTCATTCCAAACTTAGCATAGCAAACTGTTTCCTTTGTTCACAGAACAGCCTGAGGGCTTTTGGCCATCTTGTGAACAGATATGACTTGAAAGCAGTAAAGCCCTTTCAACTCTTGGATAGTGTAGAAAGTTTCTCACTTTTCATTGCTGCCATTTGGTTATCAAGCTGCACAGAATGAGCTGGTTTCTGTTGCTTCTGCATTGCAGCTGTAAGGAACCTCTCTCCTCTTCCCAAATCAGAGGTCCCCAGCCTGCAAAGGGGAGCCAAGTCCCCTACGCCTGTCCACATGGCCTGACCCCGGCCCTAGATAGCAGAACCACACTATTTTTCCATGTTTAAGGTCTTCCCAGAATGAGGAAGGCCACCATTAGACCCTGAGTGCCATCCCCAAAAACCAAAGCTTCAGGTAAGTGTCTTTCTGTTCTCACCTTCTTGAAGGTGAGCAGCTTTGGTGCAGGGATTCAACACTTGGCTGGCATGTTCCTCCCTTGATGCTTAGAGTCCGTTAATCATTGCTCACCCCCTCTTTCACCAGTATACACTCACACCCCCCGAATATATTGAGTTTCTAGTTATATCATAGTTTTTGCAAAATGTGGTGCTGATCTCAAGTGACTAGGAGACAAGAAGAGGTGACAGCCTGATAAGGTGTCACCAAGGAAAGGTGGGGGAGATTAGGCAGCCTAACCTGTGTGGCATTTTGAGTCCTGCAAAGCTCCCTCATTCCCACTAAAATGCAGCTGCAGCTGGCTCACCACTCCATTGTGCGCAAGTCATTTGCAGTCTAAAGCTCCTCTCAATTCTGTTCTGAAGTGATTACTTTATAAACACCTTTGAAAACATTTCTAATTTCTCTCAATAAGTGGGAACAGAGTCCAGCTCCCAGACCAGCAATCTGAAAAGAAAAAGACAAAACCAGCTTCCTCTGAAGCAAGGCATATTCTGACTGCCTCCGAGCTCCATCAATTCTGTTCTGCCAACAGTCTGCAGTTTAAGGGTCTCCTACAGTTCATCCTCCTAATAAGCATAGCCCTGAGCAGTTGCCATGCTTTCCCAGCTGTTGGGCTTCCCATACAGTGTTTGCCTGGCAAACACCACCTGCAGCACACAGAGCCAGCAAGACACACAAGGTGGAGGCCATTCCTCAGGATCTACGTAAACTCCCAGGATTAGGTGGCCTTGCAGTCACTGTTGGTTGTCTGCTTTCATTTCACTCAAGCGTGCATGAAACAACACAATTAATCCCACTACTTTATAGAGCAGAAGAAGCAGAAGCTGCTAAGATCAAGTGGATACTTCTTGCTGTTTTGTAACAGTTTTTCTGCAAAAAGTGTGCATTCAGCAATCAAGTCAGGCCTCAGATTAAAACTGGCTTAAAAAGCACATTGCTTTCCCTACACTAGCTCCTATCCCATAGTAATATCATGGCTTTCAAATCAGCTTGAACAAGGCTTAATTGGCTTTTTTTGTTTTTTAAGCCTTTCCAGTAGTAGGTTTCTGAATAGAGAAACATCCTCTCAGCCATCAGCCAAACAGCTGTTACTAGCACACGTAGCAAGGTTTGCATCCAGGGAGTTTTTATAGCCATGCAACTTGCAGAACACCTCCTTATGAACATTACAGGCAGTTTTCAGTTTCATATTCAGTTTTTAAGCTAAATCCTAGAACAGCTCAGCTGAGGGTCAGACTCTAAACCTACAAATGCTTAGAACAAGTGTAGCAAGCAAAAATAGACCCAGATCTTGCCAGATGCAAACTGAAGCAGCTCTACCAGCAGAGCCAGATTGCTTTAGATGCTTCTTCTAGCCTGTTAGTTCGCAAGAGAAACATATCTGGTTTAGAGAGACAGCAGGAAATCCATGAACCAAGAACACATCCCCTTCTAATCTTCTTCTATCCATTAAACACACAGCTCTACTGCCAAGGTAAGGTGCACTCCATGGCATCCTTCTTGGGCTCTGCGGGACCAGCGAGACTGCTGCAGTCGCCAAAAGCAGCTTCCTCTGTGTAATGCTCAGCACTACTCATTACCACACCAGGAAGGGTAGGGGGGGAGGGAAAAAGTTGTCTATTTTTTTTTTTACAGACTGCTGGTTTTGACGCCGAAGGAATACCTGAGTGAATGAGCTGCTTTGTTACAACACATCACTACTACTCTGATCTCCCCCAAAGATGTGAAATAATGCTGTTCTCACTAAATTAGAGTGGCTACTAATTCAGGTTTATCCATAAGCACCTACACTTCTTCACTGAATTTGTTTTAGTGAAAAGACAAAAGCTAATAATATTATTTTGTCTACCATTGCTTCTGAGACTAATCTTTACGTCCCAAGTTCCATACAAATAATATCAATAAAAGCACTTGTTAGCAGCAGTAGTTTATCTGAAGTCCCACCATACACAGCAGAAATAGAATTTGCACAATTACAACCTGATCACATATATGCATCTGTCTCTTTGTATTTGATGTGGCACTAAGTACATGTCAACATTTCACAGTTAGTGACTACAAACTATCAGGATACTACGGAGGTGGTAGGCTGGAAACATCATCATTTTCCACCCTTCCACACAAGATCATCATTAACAATTTGATCCAGCAAAGCAACATCACTAAAGCAAAAACATTTGGTAGATCTTTGCTCCTCCACTAATTCAACAGCCAAATAATATTTGCCGGAGAACCCAACCTCATTTCAATGGTTGTCATCAATTTGAACAGGAAGAGCAATACAACGCAATCACAAGCTCCTCCCCAAAGATTTAACAGCAATCTTACTCTAAAAGATATGAGAAGAGTAATAGCTTATTACTTTGAATATCTATAAGACAATATAAGGGTGGTGGTGGGGTTTGCTACAAAATACACTTATAACAATTGCAAAATTAAATTATGCCCTGCAGAATGAGCAATCAAAGAAGCAAGAGTAATTTTTATAGTGTTTTTTTCTACCTGCAACACATAGAAAAATCTTCGTAACACCAACACTGGTAGTTCTGCTAGGACCTGTAAACACACCTTTTTCTGGTTTACCAACTGTAAAAGAACAAACAACCCTGATGCTACCTTTTTCAGCCCTGGTGCTGAAGGCATATTCCACCGGCCCCAAGGAGACGCCAGAATCTTGCCAGCATCCAAAAAAAGAGTGGAAACATTTTGGTACACAGATAATATTTTAGAGCTAAGGAAGTATTAACTAGAAGAGTATTATATGTTCTTAGTAAGATTAAGTGCGTCTTTTGGCTGCTTTGTGTTTTGGCATGCAGTAAGTCCAGCTTTGCATGACTAACAGTTGTTAAAAAGGTAGGTCAGTTCTGCCCTCTAATTACAGGGAGGCAGGGGAGCTCAGGAAGAACAGTGCCTTTGGTCTTTTCTTACTGCACAATGCCTGTTTCCATGAGCCAGGTGGACAGCAGGGAGATAGCACTGATGGAAATGCACGACTGAAGCCTCGGGACATTGCAGCAGCTGTGTGAAACCACTGCCTATTAAATTTTGTTCTACTTTAACAACCACACCATTTGGAGCATCCTCAGCAGGAATACAATCAAAACACATCCTTCATGCAGTGCAGGAATCTAAACACTTTGCCTGGTAATTCCCATATCATTTGATCCTGTAGAATTTGTAATCCAGCACCTAGTAGGTGCAAGCAGAAAAATATTGATCTGTAACTCTTCCCTTCATTATGAGAAAATTAGCAGACCAGCAGGATTCCAATTGTCATCCGTGTTGGGCAATGCTTTCATAAATCATTATTCCTAGCAAACGTCACTATATATTGCCAGATACCACAAAGTGATGCACCTTACACAAAGCACTTTGCAAAATGCATGCTGAGGATTAGGTACCATTACCCTTGTCAGCCCACTTTTCTCCTGCTCCCATGCCTCTCTTCACAGCAACACAGCTAGCTGTAAGAGGCTATCAGAACCACAGTTGACCCCCAAGTCAGCCCAAAGCACAGGATACAGGTACTATTTTTCTGCCCTACCTGACACAGGATATCTTTGATATACCTTCCACACAGCTTATGCCCCCGGGGATCAATATAATCCATGATATCCCAGTATTTTGCTGCAATGCCGTTGTCTCTCTCCTGATCGCAGCAGCCAAAATTTTCATAGGCAGAGCAGAACTCCAAGTGAAAAGGGGGCTGGAAAGGCGGCCTGTAATCCAGACACTGAGGATGCCCTAGCAGACCGCCTATCAGGCACAACAAGGAGAGGCAAAGAAAGACATGTGGGCAAGAAAAGTAAACTCCAGAGCTGCTGCTGCTCCTTCCACTGCATGGCCAAATATTCACTTCCTTCAGTGTAGGTTTCTTGAGGTCAGATATATAGAAATCCTGGACTTCTTTATAGTATGGTTCATTCATCATCTCTGTTTTATTAATTACAGCCACAGAGCTTAGCATTCACTCAGGTTTGCTTACATTCTCTCCCCCTTTTTCTCTCTGAAGTTTACTACTTGGCAGGAGAGAAACCCTCTGGGCTGTCTCTTTGGTATTTCACACGTCACATAGCTGAACCCTCCCCTCCAGACATTTCTCATGCCCCTAGAAACACTCACAAATCTAATACTTACATCTTAGTTTAAATTGGCTGAGAAATCCTTCACCAAGAAATATGAATAGCAAAAATATGAAATATAATACCTATATATGGAACCTGATAATCTCTCCCCATTTACAAAACAAGTGAATAATTTTTGATTGCTAAATACCATTTTACTCAGCCTTTAAAATACACCAAACTTGGGTCTGGTTTCATAAAGACTGAACAGAGATCATAAAATAGAACCAAATTAAGGCAGCATTTAACCATAGGTACAAATAATTTCAGGACAAAGAGTTTTACAGCAATATTGCTGTAACCACAAATCCAGGTATACATTCAGGGTTCAAATGAGAAGAAATTCGGAAAGAGTAAAGGAGAAAACACACATTTAAGGCATCAGCACAACCTGAAGTCAACTGTGATATGCTGTGGTAACCCTGTACTTAAGCTAATTATTTTAGTGGTTTTCATCCCAGCTGACATTAAACTGATTTAAAGATACATGAGATTTTTGCCCACTTTTCCCTCTGGTGAAGAATGCATGAGCAAGCCCTCTAGTTAGTGAAGTACAGCATCAGCTGTGTGTGCAGGCATATCATGTTTGTACACATTGTACTCAGCCTGTGTCTCTGAGAATTACACTTCCCTAACTCCCCTCTTCCACAAGGAGACTGAAAGCACTTTAGTCACAAACTCCTTTATCACTTCACCAAAACCAAATGTTTTCCTTTCATGTACACATCACTACTCATAACGCAACAAACCCACACGCACCCAGACCACGCATTACCACTGTGCTGCATGCATCAAGGCATGGGTTCAAGATCAGCAGCACACCAAGAGCCCAAGTGATCCAGTGAAGAAGAGTAAGTCATGCTTTACCTTGCAGCTGCAGGAGTGATCAGCCAGTCTGATGCTGTTAGGAAGAGGCTTTACCATGCACCCGCTCAATAGACATTTCCATACAACAGAGCTTATTAGACAGCAAGGCTTTGTGATCTGTTCTATTGCTTCTGAAACATCAGTGAGAAACAAAGCAATTATAAAAAAGCAATTAGATATTTCTCCTCCCCACAAATCCTAGGAGAAACTATTACAGCTAATGCACAGATACCCTTTGTGCTGTTTCTAGCAGCTTCCTACTTACTGCTTTACCTCCATGGGATGCAGGCAGAGTACAGAAAGGGAAGCTGCAGGGATAATCTCATGTATAGGGACACCTCCACTCATCCCAAACTCTTCCCTCTCTCCCCACACATCATAATTTACTCTCAGGACCCATCTGTATGTAGCTCATGGAGAAGTTAAAGCTCCCAGTCCTAGCTTCTCAAAACAACCACCAGTATAACATGACAGCTGAGAGTACTCTTGAGGTTATGGATCTCCTCAGAGTCTTTATTGGGAAATGGTTGTTTTAAAAAAAACTCTGAGTTTTTAACCTTCACCTGTTTTTGCTGTGGCTCTAACTTGTAGCACCTTGACTGTCCAGCAGCCTGTCAATAATCTTCTCTGCTTAGGCTTCAATGGACTGGAAACACACCAAGCACAAGATTCAGCACTGTCATGAGATAAAGCATTTTAAATCCAAGTCTTTAAATCTGCTGAAGTATCAGCTTATCTCAGTTATTGCTCTCATACATTGCAGACAATCACTGAAATTAAGGCATTACTTTGGTGTTCCCTGGCAATTGTCTTATTTTGAAACCACAACAAACAGCAAGGATAAGTGAGAATATTTACATACTCATTAGTAGACTATAGACTATGAGTTCCCTATGCTTTTAATTCCTTTAGCATTACTGAGCTCTTTGGGGTAACTAAAATTATCCACCATTAAGAGAACTTCAGCGCCTCTCTCCCTTTTCTACGGACATGCCACTTGCAGACAAAAATTCAGAATATTTACCTGTGTGTGCAACTGCACTTCCCAGTTGCTGGGTATTTCAGACCAGGAGGAAAGAACAATCCTCGCTGGCCCCTGACAAAGGCAGAAAAGCTAAAATAGCATTACTCACATTCAGGCAAGGAGAGAACATGTAACCTCCCACAGAGCTTGCTGCTCACATTACCCAATGACTCCTTGCAGTGGGCAGTCTGGGTTTTTTGGCCAACATACCACCTCCAGCCATTCTTTAAATGCAACAACACAAGACTGAGAACTTTCCATTTACCATCACAGATAAGAACACCAATTACAGAAAACACCGAAGAACTGTAAATTCAGAACCAGTACACAACACATCAATCCTCTGATTCTGAAGGGACTACTCCAAGGGTAAGGTACATACTTGTTTAGTGCTGACAATATCCTTATGCTACTCTGAAAGCTCAGGCAAGACCTCCTGAAGTTTCCAGAATGAGCCAGCTGCTCAAAATACAGAGAACTTGGTGGGAAAAAGAAAGGGAGTAAGAACACACAGGGTCGACATGCTTTAAAAAGCAGCAGACATTTCATTAGCTTGCTTTTCTTGAACTTTAGTAAGGACATTCTTAAAACAGGAAAGCACAAGCAGGAGCATCAAAAACATGAATGGAGCAACAGGGAAAGCAGAGGGTAGAGCTGAAGTGTTTTGTAATTTTGTGTTATCATTATGTTAGGTTTTAGTATTAAAAATACCAGAATAAGAGAAGGAACAGGAAGACAACAGACACTGTGTCTGTGCAGAAAATGTGGATTCCCTGAACAAGTTCCTTGCCTCAGCACAAAGGAGAACAGCAAAGAAAAGCTGTGCTATTTGTTTCACGCAAGTTTTGCACACAGGATGAGGAGGACAGTTTGTAAGAAAACCAAACCTAGAATACAGAATTTGGAGCCAAAGCAGAATATTCCAATCCACTAGGAGTAACATATTCAAAGTACAACTCACAGGCTTGAAAACACAGTATGCACTGAGTAATTTGAAGTTTCACTCAAGACTTGTCATCTGCTGGTTTGTCTCAGGTGTAAGTACCATGGTGTCAGGAAACATCAAGTTTCTTGCAGGACATGAGAGCGCAATGCTTGTGATAGTTACGTGAAAGGTGGGACTGTGCTGTTCCTCTATTTGCTGACTGCAGCATGGTAGTTCTAGCATCAGTAGAGAACATGATCCCTGGCAGCAATACTGCTTCCAGAAGTCACAGGAGAAAGCTATGAGCACAATGAATTATCAGATTTTTCTAAGACATCAAGCTCCTCTTTGTCCTCTCATTTTCCTTCCTGCATTCTTCTTACCTCCACCCCAATCTCTGCTGCTTTGTTTCACATTTCTTCCTCAATAATTAAGAGATGGTTCCTCAGCTGCTGCAAGGCATACACATCTCCCACAGGCAGCTAAGGGGACAGAAGAGAAGTTACACAGAAGCTCTCAACAAGCAGTGGGGGCTCTAGCATTCAATTTTTATACTATTTGTGTTAGGTTATATGATAAAAGTTCTCTCTGTGCTCCTTTGTGGGCATGCAGAGGACAATGGAAGGGAGAAGCGCAAATAATACCCTGTTGGGATACTCCCAGGCCCAACACAGGAGAGTCACCAGCCCAGCAAAGGTCCATCTTCAAAAGTCCAGAGGAGCAGAGGGGTACAACGGCAGGCAGGAAGCCAAATTAAGGACTGCAGGGAAGGGACACCCTGCCTGGTTGCCTCCCAGGGCTGTCCCAGGACAGCTTTAGTCCCACTGTCCAGGCATGAAACCCATCAAGGGGAGTCATTGGGAACAACAGTCTGGATCACCTTTTGGACTACGAGGGGTTACTTCCCAGGGGTGTGGGACATTCATGGGATGCTGGAGAACAGTATTTTGAAACCTCACAATCTAAATTAAAATAGTCAAAACTCAGCTGAAGATCTCCAACAAAAAAGTTTGGCTATTACAGAACAAAGCAATAGCATTCTTGGGGAGTCAGAACTAAACAAGCACACAGGTCAGGAATGACAAATAATTGTGCTTTTTTTTTTATAAAACATGCAATTATGGCAAGTAGCTCACTTTATGTTTAAGACATGTCTTATGGCACATTTCAGAAGACCCATATTAACCCAGACCAAAATCCCAGATAAACACTCAGCTTTTAAAAGCACAGCTGTACTTATCCATACACTACTACACTATTAAAGACATATTTATTTCAATCCCAGAGGTAGTTCAAGAAGTTCATCCAGCAGAGTTCTACAGACCTGTTATTAAAACAGAAGTAGTATTTGGAAACCATTTTGTTGTTGTTTTCAAGCAAACTGGAATGCTAGTTTGTGACAACACATTAACATTTGCTTTCTAAACACAGCAGCACTGCATATTTCAACTCATAGGCAAGACTGAAAAAAGATTCTAGAAAGTCTCTTCTATCATGTAGAGAAGTTTTCAGTAGATCTGTACCTTCGCTCTTTCAGAGCACTGCAACACTAGCTTCCCTGTCTAGCCATGCAGCTACAGCAACCTTTCACTCTCTCCTACCAGAGATGTGAAAACAATCCCTGAACTGGACACACAACCTGTAAGTACGACATGTGGAAAAATTGGTTTTGGATACATTGAAGTGCATCATCTATTTGAACAAGCTGCAGTAGATCTTCAAAACCTATAATTCCTCTCAATATACAATGCAAAAGGTGTGACACGTGCCTCTCCATTTTCCATATATTTCAAGAAATGATCAGTTATAAGCAGCAAGCTCCATAACCTTTACAGGTTGAGAATGTGTTTTCAGAGTGCATCATGTACTGTTCCTAGGCTAAGACACTACACCTATTACGAATGCCACTGCTAGTCCTGAATGAATTTTGAACCATTCCAGCAGTCATTTAAATCACCATCTACACATCTAAACATAAGGAGGATCAACCCTACAATATTATTGATACAGAAATTCCCCACCATAATACTAAATATTTTTCAAGATATATTTGCAAACAGCATTGATTTCATTTCACACAAATATGGGACTAGTATTAAAGAAATTCTTCAACCTTATCAGTTGATTTATATTAATTTTATTATAAAATAAATACAAACCAAGGTGTTTTTACAGAATCATATAAAAAAGTCTAGCACTGAGTCAATAGGGTCTGCCTCAAAGTTTTAGAATAGCACCAATACAGAAGTCAGTTTCACAGAGAAGAAAAAAAGTACAGCAAGAACCTTAAGGACACCTTCTAATCAAGGTTGTACAGAAGAATCTGAAAGACCAGATATTCTCAGGTAGACAGGATTGTGCTTATTCACAAATTTCTTCAGTATCCGAAACCTTTTCACCTGAGCTTTGCAGCCTTGGTGTGATACATATTTAAAGTACTTGCAATCTGAGGAAAAAAAAAAGCATTGTAAGTTATACCATAATACAAGCAAATACAAAATGCTTTCATTGTTTAAGTAACACACAAACTTCTAAAGTTTTCAGTAATGAAAGGTAATAAAATCATCCAAGACATGCACATTAGAGACATAACCACATCGTTAAATAATCTATCCTCATTTGACCCAGAAAACATTTACATATATATAACTGTATGCTGTCTTTTGCAAAGTATTTTTTACTCTTTTGTTTTTACTCTTCAACTAGATCAGAAAGTAAAATTTCAAGAGAGTGTAAAGCAGCATTGATTTAATACATTAACTTATTGTGTTGGATAAGGAAGATAGAGGCTCATATTGACACCAATAAGCACAGAAACTTCATTAAAGAAAATCAGAGCTGGAACAATTTTGTTTGCCATCTGGAAATAAAAGCTGGGAGACATCTGATAACATATAACTGAAAGCAAAAAAAGATTTTCAATATGATAAATTGTTTTATGAAGTCCAGAGGATAAAGTTATAGAAAAGCTGACAACAAACAAGTTGCCTATCAACCAAAAGTCCAAACCAGTGTACAAGCCATGGTCTCCACGCCATATTCTCATTCTCAATTTAGCAGCTGCTTCTCGGCCTGATACTCCACTTGGTTTCGGCAACATTTCAAAAGAATGCTACTAAAGGGGTCATGATCTTCACCTTCTTACCAAACTGCTGATGATTTTGACTCAAGAGCCCCCCTGCCTCCTCCTTCCTGCATTACAACACCCCCATGGTCCTTAATGGCCAGCTTCTCCCCAGTATTTGCCGAGACACTGCCTAGGCTGACATCCAGCAAGCAAACTCTCTGCAGTCCTCAGAACATTCACTCAGGAGCATGTTGTGCATTTTTAAAATTGTGGTTTGAAGGTTAAACAACAAGATAAATAGTATTGTGACTGCTCAACAAGGCCAGATAAAACAGAATTCTAAACCAGGATAAGGCAAGTTATGCAAAATATGCCTCGCTGTCAAGTATCAAACCAATTTAAACATTTTTCTCATGTTCAGCTTCAAAGACAACAATCTTTCCTAGAAGAAACTGCATTTCTTCCAAGGAGTAGATCAGCTGCATCCTGTCTCATTAGGGGTAAAACTAGACTTTATTTCTCTATGTAGTGAAAAGGAAAGAACATTTAGTATTACCCTTTCCCAGTAAGATACCAGCCACCAGAGCTTTTTCATATGAAAGGCTTTCATTTTCCTGCCAATTCCTTTTTGCCAAGTAACGGCTAAAATGGAAGGCTGGCCACCAGTCCTTTCTGGAGTTCCACTCTTGTTTGATCCAGTCAAGATGCTTCTCAGAGCTGGAAAAAGGTAAAACAAGTTAGAAAACCTTAAACTGAGATGAAAAGACAATTAGGAGGCACTGAATTTTATAATCAACTTGCTGCAAGTCTCATAAATTGCTAGCATAGACACACTGACCTTACACTGCAGACTGAAACACTAATCTAAACTGAAGTAACCTTTTTTTTAATCCCTGGCAACACTAGGGACATGAACTCTAGTGCTTATGTCACCCAGGAGGTGAACTCTAGCAGTCTTGTTTAGACTTGGCAATAACAGATTATGGTGTGAAATGAAACAAGCCTTTGACTTGTGTGCCAGTTTGTCAATAATAACAAAGTTTCTTCAAGTTTGTCAACAAAGTAGTATGAAGAGGTTGGTTTGTTTTAGAATAGGTTTGTGTTACACTATGCATACTCAAAGACTAACTTATCCCAAATACTTATCCCAATAACTGTTATGCAATAAAGACCTTATACCAACCATTTCAGAAAACTACCTACAACAGGGAAGTGATATTCCCATAAAACAACCAAGACACCCAGTATATTTCAACATGCTCTAAGGTTGTGTCTTGAAATACAAAAATGCAGACAAAGTTAGAGTATCATACCATTTTTACTAACTCCATGCAACAACACTCCTAACTTTAATTCACTAGCTTCTGGACCTTAAAAGCAGATGTTGTGTAGGTGGAGGTGGCAATAAAACAGTAAAACAGGTTAAATTAAGTACTGAATTAATTTACAGTAAATATATAGGGCTTAAAAAACACAACACCCTGTTTATCAGTTAAAATAAAGTCTAGACATTGGAGGCCACCTGAGCACAGATTGCCTGAGATGGCTTCTTCTGAAATCAGAGGCCATGTCTGTCAGTATTGGCAAGGACGCATCACTCCCCAGGGCACATTGGCCCAGCTTTTAAGAATACACTGGCTGCATTCTATAACAGGTACCATCATCACATAACACACTAGTCTATATAGTACCAGCCATGCCACTATTGCAGCCCAGCAGTTCTCAAACCAGCTTCAAATAATGCACACATAGTAACAGAGCAGACAACCCAACAACTTGTTCCCCCCACACACCCGAAAGAGGGAGGTTAGTGACAGGCAGCAAATGCTACCTGAACATCTGAATTATCTTATGCTTCCTGCATAAGCATGTGACCTGGTAAAAAAAACAACAAATTTTTCAGACAGTGACAATATTGAAATTTGGAATTCTCCTCAATAATAATTTCTTCTTTCCTCCCAATGAAAGCACACTGCAGTCAAGCACTGCCACAGAACTCAGGGTAGGCCAGACAACTCTTCTGTTCACCAGCAGGGAAGACAAAGGCTACAAAGGGCCACTTTGTCAATTGTCCAAAGGTGGAGACTTGACTATTTTTTTTTTTTAGCACATTGTATCAGAGATACTTACATTACAATTTGTTTCACCTGTCTTGCCAAACAGCTCCATGCTTTTACATTTTCCTTCCAGCCAGCATAATCCAAGGCTGCAAAAATAACTTCTAGCCCCAGCTGACGTTTTTTTCTTTTCTCTGGAAAAAGATGACACTGATTAATGAATGACTTGGATCAGACTGAATTCATTAGTAAGCAACAAGTGAAATACAGTTCTCCATCCTGCCTCCTCACATACTGCTACTTTCCCTATCACTGAGAGTTCCTCCCATTGCCTTCTACCCCTTCCAAGAGATAAAGGAACACTTCCTGGCTCTAGAGCACAACTCATACCAGAAACCCTCTGTCCCTACTCCCACCCTGCTCAAAAACTGCTGGGTCAAGCAACACACACTGCCTTGCTTACAATAGCTGCTGTTTCCAAAGCTCACTAATCAGTGCTTCCAATTGGCACTTGGAAGCATGTTCAACATGTTCTTCCCATGGGAAGGGAACACAGTGCCTCTGGAACACTTCAAATCCTGAGATGCCACCAAAAAAACCCAAAATAAATTCTGGGACTGTATGAATAAAACAGACATTTCACATCAGCAGTACCATACCAGCACAGTTCTTAAAAAGCTTGAGCTATCACAGCAGGTAAATATGGGAAAAGTTATGTTTATCAGTATTAATTTCTTCAAAAATCAGACTGCCCTCGTTAGCTATGAAAAATTAGCAAATGTCATGCATGAACAGAAAAAAGGAGGTTTCATTCAGGAGGTTGTTTTTTCCCCCCTCCCAAAGAAGAAAAGCAGAAGAGAACAATCTTTATTCAAACACATTTCACCAGTCTGCTGACCTGCTGGAACGTACCAGGTCACAAGACAGACAGACAGCTTGGAATACAACTGATCAGCATGGAAACAACAGTCTCCAAACTGGAAGGCTTTTCTACCAGCTTGAAGATAAAACTCCCTTGAAGAGGACAATTTTGTTCTTTGATCAGTAACAACGAACTAAAGCATAGATCTATCTCAATTCCTCAGGAAGAGAAAGAATAAATAAATCAGAGACTCCAAAAAGGGAATAGAGACCGTGGCATTCAGAGTAGATTACTTAAAAAAAATCAAGTTGAGATCCTGGCTGTGCCTTACAACAGTTTGCTTTGATCAGCCTTTAAAATGAAAAAGTAACTTGTTTACAGAAGTTTGTAAATGCCTGCTCACACATCCAACTTAAAGGTCCCTGTGATTGGAAAGTAGGTTTGGGAGCTGTTTGTTTAACAAACAAAACTACTTGGAAAAGCAGAAAGGCGACTGCAGAATAGTTTCAGAGTATTATTCTAGATTAACATAAAGGAAAAGAGCAAAGATATTTAAAGACTTACTTGATTTTTGAAGCATGGTATTAAAATCTATCATTAGTTCATGAGAAGGAACAATATCGTGCAAGATCTGAAAAATAAAAATAAAACCACAAGACCCAGATACATTATTTTAATGTGAAAACTTTTGAAGACTTCTACCTGATCAAGAGAAGCACAGGCTTCAGAGTTTCAGGTGTTTTAGGAAAATTAAGCAATCTGGTACCTTAGTGCCTTGATACAAAGAATAACTAGGTTCATTTTGCACATCTGTGATGCTACTCTGACACTACAGATGAAATCCCTTGATGGGTGCTGAAAAACACTGCATGTGACAAATAAAACTTCCTCAAGTAACAGCCCAAATCCATATTCAGTGTCACCTTTTTAGAAGGCAACCTAATTTCCCTCCTAGGCCAGTTCTAGCTCCCCTGTCTACTGCTCTGTGCATTGGATCTCTGTTTCTGGACCTATTAGATCAGTTCTTTGATTTGTCACTACCGTGTAAGAGACTAGTGTCTAAAGCCACCGCTAAAAAGCGCTGAGAAGATGGAATTTCATACACATATGCCACAGTTTAGAAGTCTAAACTTTATGAAAGTGTTTTAAAACATCTGCCCTAACAAAAGCACATTAGTGCCATCAAGTGGCAAAAGATTGCAAATCATTGTTTGCAAGAAGCTACCAAGATCAATGTGCAAGGGCAAGGAAAGCAGGAATTTAAAAGCAACTATACAAAAGCTTAATACAGCAAGGCCTTGTCTGCCAACAGCTAGCAGACATTAAATTCTGTTTTAGCATAAATGCACAGCTCGTTGAAAACAAGTAGAGAAACTAATTGCTAGACAAGATCAATATGTGAAAGAGCAAGCACCTAATCATTTCTTCAATACTTTAAAGATCAAACTACAACAGAAATCAACGCATGTTATGTACAATACTGCTGATACAGACTTCCGGAACCATGTAACGACATTCTCTGAGCTTGTTTACCGACTGTAAGAAGTTATACAATGTATCAGTTAAAGGCAAAGCCAAGACTTGAATTCAAAGACAGTAAAGGATACTGTTCGCTCCACCATTAGCATCCATCCAGCTAACTTTCCTCTAACCCTCTGCTTCCCACAAAGCATACAATAGGGTAAATAATGTTACAGAAGTTCAACTGAACCAAACTATCAGACCATCACGCAACATGAATGACCACAGACTGTATCTACTATATAATATATACCTTCAGTGCAGATATGAGTGATTTCTTTGATTCACCATGTCTCTTCAGGAACTGATAGAGGTAAACGTGAGCATTGGGATTAGCAGGAAACTTTGAGTTGTAGGCATATTCATTTAATACTTGGCAGGCTTCGTTATGGTCTCCATAGAACTCCAACAACTAAGAAAAGTTAAGTCTGTCATTAGTTTGCCACATATTAGCAATAAAACTCTTACAACTAATTTTAGGCTGCCACAGAACTATCCAATAGCACAGTCTGTATCTAAGAGTGTAGCATATTAGGTAGGACTAAGGCTAGCATATATTCATTTTACTGGCTACTTTCATCACAGATAGACAAAAATTCACACATAGAAGCCACTACAGGAGAAAATTCCTTTAACACTTAATTGTCAAAGAATTACCAGCACTTGCTCACTGGAAAGACACTGAAGCAGCCTGCCCACGTCTTTCAAGAGAACTCAATGAGAGAACTTGGCAGCTGTCAGCACCAAGCAAAATTCCATAAGATGTGCTTAGAGAAGTCAGAGCTTATCAGCATTTACAAAAAGTAAATAATTTCAAAGCGATTTTAAGATTAACTTTATTTCTTAATTAGAAATTCTAAGCAGATATTTAAAAAAAACAAACCAGAAGGATTGCATGTTTGGTGTCTTTAACATATACTGTATCCAGAAAAACACTGCCCTGCCAAAAGGAGGGAACTTTTTTCAGGTATTTAAACAATTTCTGTACTAGCACCATGAAAACAAAATATACAAGTTGTTTCTCTATTTCTTTTTCATGGCAATGCACAGATAAAGTCCTTTTTGTACTCCATGCAAGCTCTGCAGTTCTACCAGAAGTAAACTGTGCTCTAAATCAAAGCCAGTGAGAGACACATACAGATGTGTTATTTTTTAAATACTTTGTTGTCACCCACACACATATAATAAAAGCTCCAGATAGACAACTTAATGAAAATTAGACAGGGAAACACAAAAGGAAGATATCTGTAAAACACGCGCTTACATCCACATAGCATTTCACAAAGAGATCCCAGACTCCAGGTATTTTAATAATCTCTTTTAAGTTTACTGCTGCCTTCCGAAAGCAACTGTGCATTTCCTGTTCAACAGACAAGTCTTCAAATCCATTCTGACCTACCAAAACATGAAAGAATGCCACAAAGTTAGCTCTGCTAATCAAAAGGGATCTTGAAGAAGTGGTGCAGCTAAGAGATGATCACATTTTGCTAAGCAAGGACTCCAGTCAGAGAGCTTTTAAGAAAAGAGGCCTCAGTTTCCTCTGTATTGAAACAAGAAACCTTTATTGCTCTTCATTCCAACTTATTATCACCCAGTTTCAACTTATGGGGCATGACAGGTAGTATTCCAAGACAAGATGCTACCAGCACAAGGTCCATAAACCAAATTCAATGCTTAGTTTTCTCAGAAACAAGTAGAGATCCAATGTAACTGATAACACACAGCCAGCAGGTATATGCAGAATTAGATGCCACATACAAATAGCAACTTCCATATCTTTAAAGAAACTGAAATTCAAACACAAGTTTTGGGGGCTTTTGCTAGCACTCAAAATTCTAGCAGCAGTGAAACACACACTTATTAAGCCACTGCTATAAGTGAACACACTCCTTTGACCATTATTTTAGGTGATGCTAGCTGGATATAAGAAATGTGATTCAGGGGGAGAAAAAGTTTCAGAATAGCATTTCAGGACACTTCAGGAAGTACAGGTCAGTGTGCCATGCTGGCACCACTATCACTGCCAATATAGCATTATGTACTATCCATAGCATCACATTTTGAAGTCTAGTAAAAGAAAAGGTGTCATTGCAAACCATGGTGTCTGCAAGAGCAAGCAAGTTGAAGTTTACAGCTCAATACAAAAACACTTACCATGCTCTAACAGGATGTCCTTCTGCTTAGACCAGCTATAGTAGTCCAACAGTCCCCTGTAAGCCTGAATCAGTTTCATTTCTTTATCCTGAATGGCTGTTTGTTCTCCAAACCTCCAGCTTTCTGCCAGGGACAGGTTTTGGTAAGCTTCATCTATTAGTCCATTACAAAGGAGATGAAAGGTATGCTCTAAGCAAACCTGCAATTCAAATAGTCCATACCACAGTGTTTCACATCACAAATGGAGATATTCTCAGCAATACAGCAAAGTTCTACACAGATGTGCAGGGAAAGGAGAGACTTATTACTGACATGCGTACAAAATATTGCAAACACCGTTAGTAAAGTGTTTTAATTAGAAGAGCATTTTACACATTCTTTTATCCAAACAGTATCTTTACATGGAATTTTGGAGAAAAATGCAGGAATGGGAAAATACAAGTGTCACTGGGGGCAGGGAGATGAGCCAAGAACCTAAAGTATTTTTTTCTACAATGCTGGAGAAACATTAGTAATTAAAAGCATATCTGATATACAAAGATGTATCCCTGGGAAGACAACGGGCTGAAGCTCTTGAAATCTGCGAGGCAGAAAGTCACCCATCAGGTGGTAGACACTCAGTGGTACTTATCAAGGCAGCAGAAAGCAGTTGTCTCAAAAACCTGCTTGTCCTTAACAAGTGCTACACCTATTTAACAAGATCCAGAAATGACCCGAGGAAATCCAGTTGGGTTACTTTTGTTGATTTTTCATTGGCTACCCAATTGCAGAGTACCTGAAAGAGGGATGTCCTACCACCCTATCATGTTGATTAGGCACTGAATAAAAGTCTAAACTTTCAGTTAGCTCTAATAAACTCTCGCACAGAACTTCTGTTGAAGGCCTTGAACAAATACAACGATGAAAGACAGAAGCATCATCACAAGTGAGAAACAGTCAAGGAAACCAAAACAATATAGATTTGAAGGAGACGCCACAGGAAAAAAAACTACAGCTGGGCTAGAGAGGTCCACAGTATAAGGTCCACTGTTTTATATACAGAATAGCTACTCGAGAAGTGAGTGGATAACGATGGCAAAATTTAAGTACAACTGTTTAGTCAGGAGCACAGTGGCCAAATTCAGGACTGGAAACAAAGCTTGGCAGGTGTTAACATGTAATTAGATGTTACTGGGGCATGCATGAAAAAATTTAATTGTCTCAAATTCAAATCAAAAGATTAAAGGATCTAGGCACTTCTAAGGACTGACAGTATGCATCTGTGATCAAACATATAGACCAAATGAGATACGGTTAGGTATAGAATATCATGCAATTGGTAACTCGGATGTATTTTTTTTTTTTACACTATTGTCAGTAATACATTTCAAAAGAGAGTTTCAGATACTAATACTCAAGTAAGCATTCAGGTAAATGTGGAAAATCATCAAAACCGCGTTAAATACACTCACCTTCAAATACCTTTTTACTCCTAAAGTTTTCATCTGTTCTATGAAAGAGTTGAACTGTTTCATGCTGCTATGGGAATGGTGGCACAAAATTTCAGTTCCTATTCTCCAAATCATCTATTAATGGGGAGAAAGAGATTAAAAAATAACCTTAGTACAAAAATGGCAACAGTCACCATATACACAGCCTTATCAAACTTACAGTTCCTGCAACATATGAAAAAAGGTACATCTGAATTGCAAATAAAACATTAATACTAAGTATTATCTACTGCTATCGTAACCTACATATTCATCTAGTAGGACTTTTACAGTCATTCAGCATGTGCTTCATAATTGCTCATTATAAATGCAACACTCCAGTAAAGCTTATGAAAACTGCATTTGTCAGAAGGTTCCCCCCCCTGTTATTGAAAAATTGTTTTCCTTTGATATGATCTCACTGAGACACAAGGTATACATAATTCTTTGAACTCAGTAATAAAGACTATTTCCAATTAGATGTAGCTTCCCATCTACATGCACTTGTTTTCAAGGTCTGCCTACGCAATGTAACCAAATATTCCAGCAGGCTAGCCCTATTCAAGTATGCCATTTATTTAACAGCTCTGATCCCTTTCTTTCTGCTGCTGTCTCAGTACCTGCTAGGAGTTTTGCATGCACTGGAGGCGCTTGTAAAGACCTAAATAAGCCACTAACTTTCAAACGGATTTTGACTGATGGCATGCCAGTGGCAAACATTTACTGCTTTTCCATCTTAGAAGACTACTTTAAAATGACTTTTCATAGATACACTCCTGATGGAATTAGCTTACACCAAGCCAACCTTTCATCTGTTGTGTCAAGGGCCTATGTAAAAAAACACATAACAAAAAGCACCCAACAAAACCCCACAAAAACAGCCTGCAAGCCCAGAGAACTTTTCAGGAGCACTGAGCACTCTGTCAGGAAAAACAGACAGCACTACAGACTCTCAGCACCCCAAAAGTGAGATCTTGGCAGAATTCAAGCTCCAGCAAGACTGGTTAAACCCACAGCAGAGGCATGACTGTGCAGAGGCAGTCTTTTGGTGATTAACTGGACTCAGGCATGCTGCCCTGAGCACTACCAACGATGAGGTCTGCTGTACTTTCTGCAGCCTGCCATCCAAGAGTTCCTACATCAGCACCTGAACAGTTGCTTATTTGTTTTTGGAAGCTTCAATGTCTTTTTTTTTTTTTAAAGAAACTAGTTTAGTTTGTGAGAGTTGCCTAACTTTTCAGGTCTTACTTCTAATACTTTTTTGTTTAATTGAAAAAAATTAACTAAGCACAGGCTCAATTTTAAGACAAATGTTGGTCCTGAAGTATTATACGTGCTTCTTGCAAGTATTTTTTCAACTGCAAAAGAACTCTGATAAGGCACATTGGCTTACCTCTGACGGACCCATGTATGCTGTAGAAAAGTCTTTCTCTAGTGACTCAATATAGAAGGTCAGAAACTCTGCAGCCCTTTTCCACTGCTTTTGTAGCATGGCATCCTGAATGTAATTTAAACACACTTCCTTGCTCTTCTTGAAGTTTAATTTGTGTTCATGGGAAGATGCTAAACAAACAAAACAAACAAACAAATCAACCAAGCCCACAACTGTCACAGCTCTTATTCAGATAACAACGTGCCTACCTTTTCAGTAACTCTATGATCTCTCAGAGAGAAGAGAACATGATCTTAAACTATGTGGTTTTGCACTTAAACACACCTACTAGTCTGCAGGGAAGCAAGACTATTGCAAAAGCTGGAAACAGAATATGAAATGGCATTTTCCACAAGCAGCACACATCTGTGGACACTTGAAACAGTGAAGGGCCAATTATTACACACTACTACCCCACTGGAATTAGAAGACCATGGTGCTTTGATAACCTCACAGTACATTTTGTTATATTTTGGCAACCACTCTCTTCCCTTACTAATCATCATCTAAGTTTGTGACCCCACTGTGCTGAAGATTTGCATACACACATACAAACAGGTCATTCCAGTACCAAAGGCTAAGCAATTCCCACTATAAACAAAGATAAATGTAGATAATTGTTCTCTTTTGAGTACAAGACTGGAAAGAGGCCACTTACCCTTTTTACATGGATACTGGTTCCTGTTACAGCGCAAAACCGAAGCCTCATTTCCACATCTATTTAAAGCTTACAGCTGTATGCCATGGTCTAACAGGCCCCTACAACAATGCTCAAGCTATAAGAGCCTTCTGCAAAGGACATGCAGAGCTCACCAATCCACCTCCTACCTGAATGCTGCAGGCAAAGGAGTAACTCAAACACTGGCTTGAAGCAGTTTTATTACATGTCATTCTACAAAATTACCTCTAACCGACCTACCTATAGATCTAGTCTTCACACCTATTTCTAACCTCAAAGGTTCCAATAAGAAAACAAAACCCACAGTGAACCCCACAAGATTAAATACAAGGGCCGTGACTACTGTAGGCAAGTCCTACTAAGGAAGATCCCGAGAAGTCATCTGTCACGGACAGAGCTGATGTTTCACTACACGGCTATTTTGAAACAACTTCTCCAGAGGTTTTGTGGTCACCTGCATCCACAATGCTTTTTGTTATCTGTCACCTCATCGGCCCGTGTTTTACGAGTAGCGTACACGCCACCTCCAAGCTGCCGGGCAGGCTGCCGGGCAGGCGGGCCGCCCACACGCCTCAGCGAGCGGGGACCGGGAGCAGCCCCGAGGGCACCGGCAGCACCAACCGCCCCCTCGGCGGGAGGCCGACGGCTAAACCGCGCAGGGAGGGGGCAGGCCGGCCACACCGGGGGCAGAGGGCAGCGCTCCTCCCTCAGGGCCGGAGGCGGGGGAAGAGGGACGGCGGAGCGCGGGGAGCCGCGGCGGCAGGGCGGGGATGAGCGGGAGCCGTGGGGACCGCGCCCGCCGCCGGGTACCTCCGCCCTTACCCGGTCGGTAGAGGTGCGGCGGCAGAAAGGGCAGGTGCAGGGCCGGCAGCAGGGCGCTCCCCGCCTGCGCGGCTGGGCTCTTCAACCCCGCCGCCGCCTCCTCCTCCTCCTCCTCCAGGAAACTGTCCATGGCGCCGCGGGCGGGCCGCCACGCCAGCGCTAACGGCACCGCAGCGCGAGCCGCCCGCGCCTCACCGCCTCCCCGCCGGGCTGCGGCGGGCAGCGGCCATCTTTGACCCTAGTGGGGGAAACCTCAAGAGCCTTCAGCCGCTCTAAGCTAGGCTAAGCCCAGCCGAGCTGAACTCCAGCATGCGGTCACCCCAACAAAAAACAGGCAGCCCGGCGGGCTCAGCCGGAGCTCGGCTTAAGGGCGACCGCCCCCTCACGCTGGCAAACGGCCAGGCCCGCAGCGCGCAAGCGCGGCTCTGCCGGGAGGCGCATGCGCCCTGTGAAACATGGCGCGACTCTGCCACCATGGTAGAAAGGGAAGGGGGACAATCACTCTTGCGCATGCGCGCTGAGGAAGCCGGGCAACGCCGTCGCCATGATGGCAGGAGGCCTTTTTCTCTGCGCGCCTGCGCGGTGAAGGGGCGTGGGTCACGTCAGCGGGAAGCCCGCCAACGGCGGGCCGGGCGGCTGTGGTGGGCCAGGCCAGGCGGTGCCCCCGCCTCTTCGCGCTTGGCTTCGGCCTTAAAAAAGGTGTCTTTCAGCCTTAAAAAAGGTTTCGTTCCCCCCCCCCCCCCCGCCGCCCGCCC